CAGATAAAAATAAGTAAAAAAGTTCGTATAAATGTATGTCCTCAAATGCTTAGTTTTGGAGATACAGGGTGTAGAAGTTTCATTTTTATTTCGATTTTTTCCAAATAATTTCTGAAGTAACGTCAATATTTGGATGAAAATTGCTGTCTGGGAGTTTTTTGACATGAGAAATTTGATTTTGATGTCAATATGACTCCTATTAGTAGAGGGCGCCACCTACATATTTTTAACTGGTTTGAAGAGTAATAACTTTTTGTCCTTACCTGTATAAAACTACTGAGTAAAAAAATATACATTTACGATGCTTTTTACGTGAAAAAGGTCTCTTGGTAAAAATCGCTACGAGTAATGGTTTTCGAGATATTTGGAATCGAACTTATCAATACCTGTCATCATTGACATAAATTAAACATGTTGCCTAAATAGTTATTAGATTGAAATAATAAATTTGAAATGTTTTTGTGTCAAAAGTTCAACAGAAACTGTTTTATCATCATTTTTTTCAGAAAAAATTATGATTAATTTAAAAAAATAAAAATTTCCCAAATTTATTTTTTCAGTGAAATAACTATCTACTCAACGTGTTTATTTTTCAATAATGACATGTATTGACTGTTTCCATTCTAAATATCTTAAAAACGGTTGCCCGTAGCGATTTTTACAAAGAGATATTTTTTACATAAAAAGTGTTGGAAATGTATATTTTTTCGCTCAGTAGTTTTATACAGGTACGGACAAAAGTTATTACGCTTCAAAACAGTTAAAACACATGTAGGTGGCGCCCTCTACTAGTAGGAGTCATATTGACATCAAAATCAAATTTCTCATGCCAAAAAACATCTAGACACCAATTTTCATCCAAGTAATGACGTTATTTCAGAAATTATTTAGAAAAAATCGAAATAAAAATGAAACTTCTACACCCTGTATCACTGCAACTAAGCATTTTAGGGCATACATTTATACGAACTTTTTTACTTATTTTTATCTGCAGAATATGCTGACGAAGTTTCCGGAATACAGTTCGGACCACTCTGTATAATAATAATAGCTCCCGTATATAGCGTTTAACGCCTTGGGAGTAGCAAGGTACAGCTTGCTATGCTAGAGCCGTTCGGTATACAAGGAAGGTATCGTCGCCTAGAATTACGCTTCAACCACCTATTATTACCTCAGGATTGTGAATCCCAATTACTCATTTAAAGCTAAGTCGGCCTAGGTACCCAAAGTATTTTTTTTAATAAAAATAGTCGGCTGATGAAATGCCGGGTGTAGGATTCGAACCCACAACCTTGATATTGGTAGACGAGACCCACAACCTCTACGCCACCGGGCACCTTATTTTACTAAAATTAGTTATAATATATTTTGTTATTATACTATAATAATATATATTCAGAATATTAAAAAAAAATTGAATATTTACCAACATTTTCAAAAGTAATTTGTTTAATTCTTCTATAGGTTTAGAGACGATCTGACATTGTATCAAACTTTTGAACTATTTGCAATATGCAACATTTTGGTTGATTACTGTTTTTTTTTTTAATTTTAATATACCGATGCCATTACTTTCTATTCTAGTCTTTCTTTACTTTTAATATATTAGGCTATCTACCTACCTACTTGGAAAATTACTCTGACATACAGCTTGTGGGTCATCAGTTAAACGCAATATTAAATTATTTTATTTTATCTTTCTATCGTAAAGTATCTTTTCGAAAACACTGTTTTGAAATATCCACTCAATAAAGGTATTGTTTTCATTCTACAACAATGTTAAAACCTTGTAAATATATTAGGTATTTATGCAAATACTTGCAACTTGCAACTACTCTGGAGTCATGTTTTGCTAACCATATCTAACTAAAAGAATTCTAGTTTTAACATCATACTTGAAAAGCTTTATTAATTTAATATACAGGGTGAGTCTTAAATAAGTGCAAATATTTCTAGAGGTAGTATATTTCGACTGCAGAAATACGATTATGAGGTTTTTTTGCTATTTTTTTTTAAATTTGGAATTTTTTGAAAAATTTTTGGATTTGATTTTATTTTTTAGTTAAGAAACATACTTTAATCCAATATAAAGTAAAAAAAAAAAATTAAGTAAATAAATACATAAAATCTTAAAACTTCTAGAGTTATATATTTTCTCATCAGTGCAGTGTTAAAAGTAAATCAATTTTAACATAAGTGTTAAAAGTACGTGTTTGTTACTTTTAACGCCAGTGTCATAAAAATATTTTTAAGTACTGAAAGTATTCATTAAAATGGTACTTTTACGGATATTTGTAGAAAAAGTTCCTTTTTAAACGAACCAAATAATGAAATATAATAGGAGTACAATAATTATCGACAATTATTATCGATATAACCTATTTTATGTTCCCATATACCTATACTTAACGGCACCTTAAAATTTTCAATTATTTTAAAGTTTTATACAGGGTGGCTTATCGAAAACGTTCCGCAAGGCATAACGGCCAGGATATTTTTTTTTTCAAAAAATCCAAAAACCCGTCAATTTTGTTTGTGAGGGGGACAACTTTTGCCCCAAAAATGATTGCAAAATCTTCAACCCTCTAAGCGGGGGTGTCATCCCCCAACTTTTTTCAAAGGGAAGGGGGGTGAAGTGGTACCGCAATAAAAAGGGCTTTTTATTCTCTATACTTTCCCGCTTCGTTTTTGAAAATCGGTCGTCATTGAGAAAATATGAAGGATTGATATTTGAAAAATTTATTTAAACATTTATCAGAGCAAATGATAAGGATAAATTCCTTCGACCAATTTGCTGTTTTTTCTTATTATTTTTAGATGTTTACGCATTTTTTCACTTGCCACAAGGTTAAACGATCAGGTGCGGCAGTTGCTAGATAGCTGTTCTGTGACTTGTGCGTTAAAGTTCTTCTAAATATCGTTAAACTGACCTAAAATAGAATTTCCAAAAATACCAGCCCACATGTTCAATTTCTGAGGGTTTTGTGTGTGCACCTCGCGAAAAACCCCTCAGCCCAGTACCGACAGTTATGCCGGTTAACTACACCGTTCAAAAAGAAAGTACACTCATCCGAAAAACACACATTAAATAGGAAATTAAAAAAGTTAAAAATTAATCACAGTTTCAAAATTGCAAGCGACGATCAAATTCGTCTTCGTTGACCAACTGAATTTTGTACGGGCGGAACTTGTGTTTTTTTAATATCCTTTGGACACTGGTACGATTCACGCCGGCTAATTTTGCATTGGCTAATTTTCTTGTACTCAGCGTACTATCCATGGCAACTTGGCGCAATACGAATACCTCCATAGCTTCATTTACTACAGGGTTTTCCCTCTGCCTCTTTTTATTCATAACGGAACCAGTTTCGCGAAATTTTGCTACTAACTCGCGAACAATTTTGCCATAAAGGTGTTTTTCAGGATGGCATTAATTGAATATCTGCGGAACCCGATTGCTACATTCATTATTTTTAAAATAAAGTTCGATTATTTCCACTTTTTCTGCAAGTGAGTACACCATAATTGTTAAAAAGTTTAACGATATTGAGAAGAACTTCAACGCACACCTGATCGTTCAACCTTGTGGCAAGTGTCCTTTTTTATCCTTATCATTTGCTCTGATAAATGTTTATATAAATTTTTCAAATTTAAGTCCTTCATATTTTCTCAATGACTCGACCGATTTTCAAAAACGAAGCGGGAAAGTATAAAGAATAAAAAGCCCTTTTCATTGCAGTACCACTTGACCCTCCTTCCCATTTGAAAAAAGTTGGGGACGACACCCCCGCTTAGAGGGTTGAAGATTTTGCAATCATTTTTGGGGCAAAAGTTGTCCCCCTCACAAACAAAATTGACGTGTTTTTGAATTTTCTGAAAAAAAATTACCCTGGCCGTTATGCCTTGCGGAACGTTTTCGATGGGCCACCCTGTATAGGGTTCTAGTGGACCGATTTTGATGATTTTTTAAGCAATTTGGAGCGTATTTCTTTCTAAAATAAAACTGAAAGTAGCCATCGATGTCCTGTCAATTATACGAGGGACACCCTCGGAGTACGTTAACAAAGCAAGGAATTTAAAAATCGTTTTATCATCTGGATGTCTCTTTTTTCAATATTTTGTTTTTTGATTCATCTCAATAGCATTATTTTTTTGGAGATTTTGAAGAACACACTAACATTTTTTTGTATTTTTTACGTTAAAACTATGTCTCTGCTTTTGGTTTTAGTTGACAAACCTATATATATATATTGTTTTTGAATCATGTAATGTCACTGTCTATAAAAATCATATTATTACGGTCTATTGTGACTGTGGTTGAGCCCAGAGGGGCCTAGGGCTTTTGTTTTTTTAATAAAACGTTTACATGAATTTCTCTATAAATAAATTTCAGAGACTTGGTTATCAAACCATGTTCCCGTAGATTACTTAAATACCTACAGATTTTCTAAAAAAATAAAAACACATTTTTTGAACACAACAAAATAATATTAACTAAACAAAACTAGAAAATGTCATTTTTACTGCATCACAAGCAAATAAAAATTAATACATAGCCAAGAGTCATAATTCAGGATTTCTCTGGGGGGTGCCCCAGCAGTACCTGGGGGGGGGCGGCACCCCCGGGCACCCCCGGGCACCCCTGTATTTACGCCAATGACTATCGAGAAAAGACGTGCCTAGATGATAAAATGATTTTTAAGTTTCTTGCTTTGTTAACAATATTCCGCAGGGTGTTACAAATTTTCACCAATATATCAACATTTTTTTTCCCTCGTATAATTGACAGATGAAAAATTTTATTTTTAATTTAGAAAGGGATACTAAAAAGGCAAATAATTTAGCTACAAATTGCTTAAAAAATCACCAAAATCTAGTATAAAATATATTAAACTTTAAAATACATCCAATTTTTGGTCAGTGTATTTATTAAGTTACAATAAAAAAATAACAATATTATTGTTGTGTACTATACTTAAACATTATTTCTTTGTTTTCAGTTTTTCTGCGGCTATCAACTCCAGGGAGTTGCTTACTCCAAAGGATAATGCCCATACCTACATTCTAGAATTGAATGAATTGAAAAAGAAAGAAGCTGGAGAATACAATCCACATGAATATGCTGACATCGAACATCCCACCACGTGAGTGCAATTCCTTTATTATCTTTTACTTGAAAATCATATTTTTTTGTAATTATAAACATATCATACGGGCAAGATAAGATAATCATTTTTAATTGAATGTTATCGATAAAATACTCATAAAAATACAGTTAAGCAATGTTGTTTCACTTTCTGAATAATTTAAATTCATGTAGTAATGCAGGCCTAAATAATTATTTAGAAATATGCATAGCTTTGTTGACAATTAATCAAGAAAAATAATATATAATATGCATTGTATATATTGATTAGTGTCGATAGGCTGGAGGCTAGCCCTCATATGAGTAGAATTATTGAAATACTTTTGTTACTTTCTGTGTTGAATAATTATGAAAATTCTAACACATTTTCCTTCTGCGAAAATTTTCGAAATCAGTTTGGTCTATCGGTTTTCCTATTCCATATTAATCAACATCAACAAATATTGAAAAAAATTATTAAATTCAAAAACTGCTTCAAAGTCAAAATTGCTTCAAAGACAGAGAATATATAAAAATAGAGAAGGAAAAATTAGTCAGCGAAGCCCTCAACAATCACACCTACATCAGTACGGTAAGGAATCAGCAAGCGATGAAAACGATCCTAAAAAATAGAAACCAGGAAGTATAGGATGCACGAGGCACCGTTTGCAACCTAGTAGATAGAAAGAAAATGATAAAAAACAAAAGGAGTACCTAAACGGAAGCTTAAGGCCTCTGGGCTGCAAATTGGGGCTGAAATATCTTTAATATATACAAAAATTATGTTTACAAAACATAATTTACCGTTTTCGACATTTTTAGCCAGAGAAAAAAAGTAGTAATTTCTTATGTAAAACATGTCGAAGATGTTTTAGCAAACTTATGAGACACAACCCCTTGAAAACAGAATATTTTGTGGTTGTATTAACTTAATCAGTGATATAAAATGTTACTTTTTGAACGTACCTTATACTTACTTAGTATCATTTATTAATTACAGTTATTATTTATCAGTATTTAACAGAATTTAGTTTTTTAATTTTTCGAGCTAGGACAAAATATAGGGATTTTAGTTTTATTTTTAATATTTATTACCAAAAATGGCATACGCTATAAAATAAAATGGCATATACAACCACAGTTATTGATTTAACCGATATTTTATAATGGGACACCCTCTGGGACACCCTATACCGGGTGCGTCTCAAAAGTGGCTCACCCCTATAACTTTTTTAATTTTTGCAGATAAAAAAACGAGATTGGGTATGTTAGTATATGACATAAATTAGGATTGATTGACGTATTCAGTTCTTTTTGGTCACTTCCTGTTTCACCGGAAATGACTACAACTTTTGATTTTTAAGTGGCATCCCGGGAATATTTTTACTTTAGTCGATAGAAAATGACACTCTGAATAGAATGACATATCATATGTAAACTTTGGACATTTTAGCTTAAAAAAAATCGTAGTTGAAATTTCAATCTAGAGTGCTAACTAGAATACTAGTTCTTAATCAAGGAGCCTTGATAAAATAGATTTGATCGTCTAATGTTTTTCGTGTCTTATCCTGGCCGGTTATAAGACCAAATTGTATTTTTAATCATATCAAAAAAAAAATCTCTATTTTTTGAAATGGAACCAGGGTGGCTCATTAGCATATTTGGAAAAACATTTTTTTACGAATAATTTGGTATTAATTAATTGTTATTGTATTAATTAATTGTTTATTAAGTAATTTGGTAATTTGGTACACACTTTATTTGGACAGTGGTACCACACACCGGTATTTCGTGTCAAATTGTCGTTATGAGCCGTATGTTACAATTTCAAATAAACCATATACGAAAATGTCAAGAGTTGGCATATAATACGTCATTCTCTTCAGAGTGTCATTTTCTAACGAATAAAGTAAAAAAATATCGAGGGTGCCATTTAAAAATCAAAAGTTTTAGTCATTTCCGGTGAAACAGGAAATGACCGAAAATAACTAAATCTCGTTTTATGTCTGAAAAAATAAAAAAGTTACCGTAATATGGGGTGGATAGGGACACTTTTTGAGCTTTTACATATCGCTACTACTAGAGATTATAACTTTTTAGATTTTTTTTTACTGGAAAAGTCCTATCTGGGGGTCTGCACTGTAAGCACACAAAAAATATTTTTTAAGAAAATTCAAACTTCGTTTTTTAAAAAAAAAAACTGTGGTGTCCCTATTTACCCTCCATTCTGTGAAATAGAGACATCCATTTAATTTTCACTTTGTTCCTGCTTAGCATGTCGTTGGACCATTGTCCATGTCCATAGGGACAACTTTAAATAAAAAAAATATGTTTTATATATTTATACTGAAAAAAAACAGCACTGGACACAAAATAAACATTTATTCATTTGAAAATCATACAAATATAGAAAATATACCGAAATACACTTAAACAATTATAAGACAAATAAAAATATATTATACTTATTTTCTGTTATGTACTAGGTATTAGGTAATATGTCCGTATCAATTTAAAGTTTCTCAAATTTTTGTGTGTCAATATTTTCAAAGTTAAATATTCCTCTGCGTTCTAACCATTTGTTTAGTTTTTTAATTATTTGGTGTGAAGTAAAGTCACTTCTGTCTTCAATATTTGGAAAAACGTATATGTTTCCCAGTTTTTCTCTTGCAGAGGGTCTTTTTCGCAAAAATGTTCCCTCAAAATGGATTCCATCTTTTTGGGTAACTTTTCCTATATAAACCCTTTGCTTAATATTTGCATTTTTATTATCTACTGGAAATTTAACTAAAACCCAGTCTCCTACATTAATATCAGTTTGAGATAGCGTATCACTATATTTATAACAGGATGGTGATGGTGATAGTGTTGGTGAAGTATCTTCAGGTTCCTCAAAGTCCATACTCAGATCACTTTCATGCTCATTATATTCGATATTATTAGCTGTTTCGGCATTGTCAATATTACTTGAAGCTGAGTCTGATTCCGAATCAAACTGGATGCTCTTTCCAGGGGCTACATTAAGTTTTGATTTTCGGATCTCTGCTTTTAGGAGTTTGCGTGTAGCGCAACTCCTTCAATAGATCTAATATAGAATTATTTGCTGCTTCGACCTCCACATCTTCAACTTCATTAGGCTCCTCCGGTAAACATCTTAATACTTCTTGCCTATTAAGGGGTACAATGCCACCTTTTTTGAATCCATATAAAATATTTTTCTTGGAATTTGGTTCGATAGCATCAATAAGTCTCTTAAGTAGTGTCGGAAATGTGGACTTCGGTATAGAAGACTTCTTCCTCCCTTCCCCCTTTTTCCATTTCAATAAAATTTCTCTCCATGCTATTTTTAATGGTCTGACAAATCTAGGGGTTGTGCTAAATGCGTCGAATTGGGAGGGAGGAAAATCATATCAATATTATTTTCTTTCAGTTTTTTTATTACATCTACTGAAATGTGAGATGCTAAATTATCGCTCAATAAAACTTTTCTTCCTTCCAGTTTGTTTAAATATGGTAAAGCTACAGTGTTGACCCAGTCTTCGAACGTATTTATATCAAACCAACCCGATTGAGTACGGTTGTACCTAGTTCCACGCGGTCCCCCTATTTCCCAAGATGAGTAAATATGTTGCGCTTTATATACAACATATGCGGGTAAGAGTTTACCATCTCCCGAAGCTGCAAACATTATCGATGTGCTAGATTTTGTTGTGTTCATTATTCTCTCTGGATGTTTGCTACCTCGTCGTGTTATAATTTTCTTTTTTCCTACAAGAAAAAAATCATTTTTGTTATACTGTTTAAACACCATCAAAAACGCCAAAAAGTACCTACTTCGTCACATAAATTCGTTTCATCGTAATTTACGATGTTACATGGAGGAATGCCTTGCAGGCTATCATAGGGTTATCAAAATAATAATTTATAACTTCTCTCGAAACATTTGCTCTAGAGCGTTTTATGTTTTCGCAAAATCTTAGGGACATTTTTTTTTATTTCTTTTTAAAAAACTGTAAACAAAATCCTTCCCGGGTAAATTGTTTTTAAATCTTGGTTCATTCCTCCCCAATTTATCTAGATAATTCTTAACGATTAGACGCAAATCGTAGCAATCAATGGGATATCCCCATTCTGAGCAGATGTTAATTCTTTCAATGAACATGCACTCTTCCTGGGCTGACAGTACCGTTTGTCCGCCTTGTTTCTTCACTTCGCCTTTTGCATGGCGAAATAGAACCGACTTTGGTACTTCGTACTTTAGAGCCGCCTTACGGAAACTCAAAGTACTGTTTCGGATTTCTTCTAAAGCTTGTAAGATATTTTCCTTAGTGTGGTGCTTATAACCTTTGCCGAAAAGCCTTTTATATGTTCTTGGCATGTTGTCCCTATTCTCCCCTATACACAAAAATATGCAGTGTTTAGATAAAAAAAATGTCATCTAGAAAACTCTCCAATTTTTTTCAAAATAATATTAAAATCATTTATAAGAAGAAATTCGCTAACTAACTCCCAAATATGAATAATATTCACTTACTTTTTCTAGGAGAACCACATGAAGTTTTTTAGGACTTATAACTTGACACTTTTGATCAGCTGTTTTGTAACTATTGACAGATGACATGTGAATTTTGACACTAAAACCAGTATTGCCAATAGAACCAATTAGTACTCTAGCAAATATTTCGACATGCCCAGATTCCATTAGTCATTACTGAAAAAGTGCAGTTCCTTTTCAAAGAAATTTCCTAATTTCGTCCCTATTCACCCTCCAGTCCCTATTCACCCCATTTTACGGTATACTTAGAGTTGAGTCACGTTTGAGACGCACCTGGTATATTAGAAGTGTATTAATACCTCTTTCCTAATGTCAAAAATATATCACGCATTCCTTAAATAGTTTTATTGAAATTTGTAATCGAATGGAACTGAGGAATAGCGATATTGAAGCACTCTGTATATTATGTTTCAAATCCATTGCGAAACAATGGGATATCCATGTTGTATCCATGTATGTGTATG